TAATCATGTGCATAACTTCTCATAACTGTGGATGACCTCCATTAAATGCTGAACTGCAAACTGTAGAAAGTGTGTATGAATTTTTTGTTTCCATCCCAAGAAGCTATTTAATTTTCAATGATATCTACTGCCATTTTATTATTGCCAAAGAATAAATTAATGCAGAGACTGAATTTTTCATCTCTGAAATAGGAAGCATCTAATATATAAGTTTTCAGTTCCAGAGTTTTAATACCCTAGGAAGCCTCCAAATCTCGAGTGAAGATGGCAAAGTTCTCAACACTAAATTTAATTCACTTTAACTTGAAAAGAAACCTAAAACTCCAGTGAAGAAGGAAAAAAGTCATCAACAATACCAGATTTTTTAACAACTGCAGTTGTCTGTGATCTACAAAACAGTTTCCTATTTTAGAGTTTATATGAAAAAGAAATCCTTACAGCATTAGTTCTGTATTTTACAGCAGAGTAGGCTCTTTTCCAATGCTGCTTTGACAAAAACCCTAAGCCAGCACTTGACGTGAAGCCTGGTACAAACAGCAAGGCACCAATCCCAGCAGAGCCCGACCTCCGCAGAGCAAGGACTGCAGAGCACCTGACTCCAGTGGGCGCCGGCCATTCCCCTGCCTGTCTTCCCGTTCCCCACACTGATACAACAACTGCAGGAATGAGTTTTCCACCACGGACACTGCTGCACTGCTATCTCTACTGCAGGAAAGACTGTGATTGGAGTCCAGAATTTTCCACACAGATCCATTTTTTCCCTTTCCTTATAACTCAGAAGTCAACTTACTACACATTCTTGAAAGCTCAGAGAGGCAACTGAATCAATAGCTCACTGAACATGATCTAACCACATTTTCTCCCCAGTTTTCTTCCAAGTTCCTAGATATGACAGAAAAGGGAGGTGGCAGGTCAGATCAGTGGGAAAGAGGAAAACAGAGCTCCAAGACCCAGCTGGCAGGAGCTTCTGTGGTGTCCCTTTCTTGGAGACAAAGACTAGAAACAGGAAGGAACTACACCATGACAGCCATTTGAGTGATTGATTAATTCCTCTCACCCTGTGACATACCAAACATGAACATGCAGAACAAAAACAAACAAGTTCTTCATGGGAGGAGTGGCCGTGGGCTTTAGAAGCAGCAGTGTCCTGACAGTAAGATCAGATCCTAAGACAGCCCATTTAGCTACACCTTGCTCCTCTCTCACATCCACTGGAGGTAGATGACAATATTCAGACATTATAACCAAAAGCAGGCTATTAGGGAATCTTAAAAACAGAGATAAACATACAATCGCCAAGCACCTAGGAAAAATTGGCACCATCAGAGAAGAAGCAAGTGCATCAAAGAGAAGAACTAATACCCAAGAAAACCCGTTAATGGAGCACATTCAGAAATGTTAAGCTATGCTTCACAAATGAAAGGAAATGTAGTCCTACAATGAAAATAAAAATAGTCTCATATCAGACTTCACACTGGCAACTTTAGGAGCAAAAAGATGACTGGAAAATATCTTCAAAGTTGGGAGGAAGATGATTTTCAATATGTATTTCTATACCCAGCCAAATTACCATTCAAATATGAGGACATTTTTAGACAAAAGACTTCGGAGAATTTTACACATATTCTGTCTACGATTACAAACAAAACAAAAGCAATCCAAATGAAGATGAGGAGGTCAAGAATCAGTGGCAAACTGAGAAATTATAAAAAAAGCCCAAACAAGCATGTATTATAAATAAATAAAGCAATAAAAAATATATTATTCAAACCTAAGTAAAAGCAAACCACAGTTACTATTGGTAGGGTGCAGGGAATGATACAAACTCTGGACATTAGGGTAGATATTAATATAAACAGAAAACAGACTGCATTATCTTGCAAACCACTGGAGGAGGAGAAGCAAAGAAAATGTGAACAACCCAACAATATTTAGGAAAAGTTAATAAATAATAAGGCAAATATAAAACATAAAATGAGACAGCAAAATAAATGCAAACATTCCAGTAATAAAAATATGAATGGATTGAATTCACTAATTAAAAGACTAACTCATGGATTAAACATCAAATATGGCTACACACTGTTTAAAAAAGATAAGCCTAAAGCAAAGTAACAAAACAGAATCCAAGACAATAAGCACCAAATAAGTAGTTTCATACTGGTAAAAGGTACAGCCCACCAGGTAAATAAACTAAAAACTTTTATGTATTTAATTTAGTTGAATATAATACATAAAAAGCAAAAAGGACTTAAAATACAAAATTCAGAGTAGAAGACTAGCGTAATTCAGAAACAGGTCAGAATAAAAACATGACACAAAGGAATAAACTACATATTTAACAACCTTAATTATGTGTAAAAACCTTGTATGTACCAAAAATACAAATATTTTAATCACACAGGAAATTGTCACCAAAATTGCTACCTATTAAGCTACACAAAGAGTCTAGAAATATTCCCACAAGCAGAAACTAATAAAGCATATTTACTGATTGCAATGTACTAAAATTAGAAATTAAAAACCAAATAGCTAAAAGGAAAAACAAAATCATCCATGTTAATTTTTTAAAAAACCAAAAACTTTAGGGTTAAACAAGAAACAAAACAGTAAAGATAAACTTTAGCAATGAATACTGACTATACAGAGTAAAAAACCTAGGATGTGACCAGAAATTGCAGGCGAGGGCAGCATACAGTCATAAATGTATTTGTAAGAAATCAGGACAATAAAGAAGAAAAGCTTTCAGTTCAAGACACTAAAAAGAAAAAAAGGAAGAAAACAGGAAGGAAACTCAAAAGATCCTAGAAAGAACAAACAAAAATGTAGGAAGTAATGATACAAGAAAACAGAAGTACAGTTGATAAGATCAATCTGATTTTTTCAAAGAATAGATACTTCTTGAACTAGATCTCAATGTTGAGGACTACCAGACTCTAATACACTCATAAAACTGAACCAAAGTTGTTTTATTTAATAATTATGGCAGTTTAATAAAACAGATTTTAATCTTTGTTCCCATTAATTTTGCTAAATATTTGGGAAAGATCACTGGCACAATAAATACTATAATAACAGAAAGATAACTGTCCATCTGTCTTTAGAAGCAATTCTGCATTTATTTCAATCACACAATTACACAAAATGAAGTGAAATAAATATAAATAAAGAAAATGAACTCCACCCAGTCCTACTTTGCCAACACAAAGCAACTATTTATCAGACCAGTGAGCACCCTTCCAGGCAATTTTCCTTTTTAAAAACTTTTAAAAGGTTTTATATGCAATATTTGAAAAGAAAATGACATTACAATGAACACAATGTACCCACCATCTAAGTTAGGAAGCTGAAACCTTCCAGGTATGCCTATCCCTATCTTGATCTCATCCCTTCATCTTTTACTACTATTAATGCACCCCTAAACACTGATTTTTATGTTTTAAACTTTTATATAAATGTTACAGTATGTAGTATTCACCAATTTGCTTTTTTCCATTATAGATGTAAACTCCAGCCATGCTGACATACATAGTTCATTAATTTTCATCAACACAGAGAATCCCATCATATGAATATTGAATAATTTCTTCCCCTGCTGATGAATATTCAATAATACTGTTAAAAACATTCTTTGAAAATCTCTTGTGTATATAAGTGAGAACTTCTCCAGGGTGTGGACACAGGAGAAGAATTGCTGGATCTCAGGATATGTACATCTTTAACTTTACTAGATTGTTGACAAATTGTCTTCTACACAGTACAGGAGTTCCTGATGATCTATAGTCATATCCACACTTGGTTTTGTCTGACTTTAGTTTTTCCCAATGTGAAAAGTATAAAATTGTATCTTGTGATTTTAATTTACCAATCCCTCATTATTAGTGAGGTTGAACATCTTTTTCATGTTCAGATATTTGTTTCCTGTTCTGCAAATTCTTGGCTTCATTTTCTGATTAGAGCTGACTAATCAAAAATCTCTGGCTCAAATATTCTAATGAAAGACTTCAGTGAAGACTGGTTATCTGTAGTGGGCAGAAACCATTCATTAGCACTTTCTTTTAGAGAACACATAATCTAACAAGAAAGGTGCTACTTTAGTGTACACAGTGTTCAGTACAAAATCAGCCCTCTTCAATGTGTGTCTTTAATCTTCTGTAACCTGCATTTCAGATGACCAGGCTGCAAATTAAGACTCATACTAATGAAGTGTGACATCATTTGTATGTAGTATTAGGGCATATTTTTCCAAGATTAACCTAAATATCTAAGAAACTGACCACACCTTCAGATTAAGAAATCCTTAAAAAATCAAAAGTAAATTCCTACATGACTTTCAAAACAAAGTTGATACAAGTTGAAAAGCAGGATACACTTTCACCCCAAGTAGAGTGAGAGCACAAAAATGTGGTAGAGTGAAGGGAGAGGGCAGTTTTTTGGCAATGCCAAGGGCTACCACTATTCTGGAATCCACTACACAGCAGGCACTCGGTACACCAGTTTTCTATTCTGAACAATGAGATCGACAGTAACAACCACACAGATTACTGTGAAAAGTAAATAAGACAGTAAGAGAACATGACACCTGTATTTAATCTAATTTCATTTTCTGGAAAAAGAAACAAAGCAGAAAGACGTCAAGTACACTGTTCAAGATCACAATTAATACATGATTCTAAAATTCTTCACACTGCATGTAATATTCCCAGTACCTTTCTAATATGGGTTGCAATGAGTGTTAAAGTGTATTCACAGGAAGGAGATAACTAGGGCTGCTACTAGAAGAATCTAAGACATGTACTTTAGATATTAGTCATCTGAAGGGTCAAATACACTTCTTACCATATTTAGGAATATATAGCATACATGAAATATGATCTGTTCATTAAGACATATTTAATAGAAATTCTCTTAGAAATTATTTTCAGGCAAACAACAGCCAATCTGACCAGCTATACTTCAGTTCAGAATTCAATGGGCAATACTAGGAAGAGGTTACCTACCTACTGCAGGTGCGTCATACTCATCACCAAGCAGAATTTCTGGAGCAGAATATGCAAGAGATCCACAGCTTGTAGTCAGCTTCTTTCCTGGTTGAAATTTGTTGCTGAAACCAAAGTCTGTCAGCTTTACAAGACCTTGTTTTTCAAAGAAGACCACATTCTCTGGCTTTAAGTCTCTGTGAACCACATGGAGTTTATGGCAATAAGATATAGCATGAACTATCTGAGCAAAGTACTTCTTGGCCAAGTCTTCATTAAGTCCCTCCTCATGTTTCATTATGTAATCAAACATATCTCCTCCATCTCCAAGTTCTAGAATAAGATAGAGTTTGGTCTGGGTGTCAATGACTTCATACAAGCGCACAATGTTGGGATGCTGCACTAGCTTCATGCATCTCACTTCTTGGAAAAGATGACCAGTAGCTAGAGTGTCCAATTTTGTCTTATCAATAACTTTTACTGCCACTTTTTCACCTGTGAAGACATGCCTGGCAAGTTTAACCACTGCAAAATGACCTCGACCCAAGGTTTTATCCAGATCATACAATCCAGCAATCTTCCCATCATACCCTCGCTTGAATCCTGCCATGCTGGTCCAACAGAAGAAAAAATATTTAGAGTGTTTGGGGTGGATCTTCTCATATAAGAATATCTGGTGAAAATAAGGAATTCATTTTCAATGTCACCATGGACATCTACAAAATAAGAGAAGAAATAAAATTAAGCTTCTGAAACTTTTCCCTAATAGTTTCATTTTTTTAATTTTGTTTTAAGAGAAGTTTGAAATAAATTGAGACAGAAAATGAGTCAGAGCCATTTAACAATCTATTTATATCTCCATATATGTATTTAGGGTTTACATTATAAATTTTAATACCAGATTAAATTTTGCAAACTGGAAAAAAGTTTGTTGAAACAATTTTTTGGGGACGTCAGAAATAAGAAATCTGGCAAGTTTGATAAGGTATGTTAAAAAATTTTTAAGAAAAGGAAAACCCAAAGTATAAACATTTGGACACAAACTCAATTTTTTCCTGTGGTTCCAAGACAAGGACTAAATTTCCTGTAAGTACAAAAATATCCCTTCAATGAAGCCTTGTCTAACTATCCTAATGGGAAGATATCTTCCCTTCTCTGTATCTCCAAAGCACCTACGGACACTCCATCCCGTGTGGTCTTACTCTGTAGGTTTCTGCATACACCACCTTCATCCTAAGATGGCAAGGTTCTTGAGGACTCTGAGTTTCTATTTTTTTCTCCTACTCTCCCCTAATTACTAGAACAGTGTTTAACGTTTAACAGGTAATAAAACTTATGTTAAATTTTAAAATGCAAATTGTTTTCAGAAGGCCTACAAGGAAATTGTTTGCTCTTGCTCCATCAGTGAGTATCTGGCATACAGCAGGTGCTTAAGAAGCATTTGGTGACTGACTGGTACTCACTCCTTGTACTCATCAGTATGCTTATCTTTATCATGGTTTTCAACTCTCAAACAAAACCCACCACGATCTGCTTATATTTCAAAAACAAACATACATTCTAAAACCACTTAAATCTTAAAGATCATTTAGTTTCAAAGACTGTATTTCATATGGCATTTAAAATTCTCAACCTGTATAATGTAAACTCTAAATACAGAAATAGGTTCTATAATTGGCTACAACTGAGGAAAACAAATAAATGTACACAGAGAAATTAAGACGTCACTTTAATCTCAGAGACTGAACTCCTATTATTTTTTCTGACCAAAATTTAATAAATTTAAATAAAAAATCCAAAGAGGAATACCACAATCTCCCAAAGCTAGCTCCTTCCTATCAGCACACGTCTTTCCCTCTTGTGAAGCCTTTTCTAAAGCTCCCAGTGAACAGTTTCACATTCTTAGTTACTTTTTATTAGGAAAAGTGCTTATACTGTTTATTGCACTTAGATGGAAATATTCCCCAAATTATACATAAAATACAGTATTTTTACAGTAGTAATATTAAATTCTTTTAAATCTCATTTTTTGCTTAAATGAACAGAAGCTAACATTTATTAAAAATCTATTATATGTACTTTGTGAAAAATGAATCAGTCACAAGATTGACAATCCTAACACGTCACTAGTAGACCCATTTTTACAGCCGATGAAAGACTGTTCTAGGTATAAGTAACATATTAAATGCTGAGGCTAAGATTCAAACCAAATTCTCACTTCCAAGCCCATCCTCTTTATAAACATTTGATCACTACAAAATATGTTATATTTAGAATAATACCATCTTAAGGGTTAAAATATCAACTATAAAAAAGGCAGTCATTCTTACTTGTAAATTGAAATGATCCAACTAACATATCTGTGGCCACCTCAGAATATATAAGCCTATAAAAACCAATGTTAATAATTTTACTAATATGTTTTTTATATTTTAGTAATTACTGCAATAATAAATACCAACTACCATTCAGTGAATAAGTAAAATATGCCAGTCACATACTAAATGTTTTATATCATCTTCATTTATTCCTTACAATTACCCTCAGAGATAAGGACTGTTAGCCCCATTCTGAGGCACAGAAATAGTGAATAATTGGCCTAGGCTATAGGGCCAGTGTGTAAAAGAGCTGGGATTTGAATCCACGGCTATCTGACATCAGAATCTGTGCTTTTAACTACAATGTTACAGTTTCTGCAAATTAATTTTCAGAACCAAAACTAAATGTTAATCCTGTTTCTATTGAGATTTTAAAATAAGAAACCAGTACTACATACAAGTGTTGGAGAAAAAGCAAATTTCTTCAATACTTTATATTATCCTGGTCGTCTGAGCAAATAATAGAAAACCCAAGTGGAAAGATCTTGCTTTATTTCGATTGCAGTTCCCCAAAAGAAAAGTGTAATTCAGGTATATTTTTAAAACAGAAACTCTAAGCTAACTTCAGGGGGCAGAAAACTATCTTTAGCTATTTAACTTCAATTAATTATAACTGCAGTAATTGTTGTTAAAATTTTACCCAAGTTTATGTTTCTATTGTACAAGCTTACACATGCAATGTTTGCTTTCAAAACAACTTCTTCAGGTTATACAGTATTTTTTTTAACATCTATCACTTTAGTTTAAATGTATTCCTGGAAAGTGGCATACAAATCAGATTTTATAAACAAATCTGAGTTTGTTTAGATTTTCATTTTATCAGGTTTTTTAAATTTTAATTTTGTTGTATGACAAAAGTAATAAATGAACATACAGATAAAGAAAATAAGTATTTTCTTAGGGTCTCGAACACCCAGAGAGAATCATTATAAACACTCTGAGGTTTCTCTTCCCAGAACTGTGATAGCAAACAATGAACTAACTTTTATCTACTGGCAAGTTCATGAGAAAGATTCTAATAGGGTCTCTTCATAGTAACAGACTATCCTACAGTGAAATGATTAATCACTCTCACTATCAAGGAATTTGCTTTTTATTGTACACATATCCCTTTTTCAGTTTCTATGAAGCTACAATTATATACCTAAAATTAGAGCACATGATTGATTGAAGGTTGGAAGGAAAAATATCCTTTTATCGAACATCTGTTTAAATACCAGCCCAGTGTCTAATTCTACTGTCAAATGCATTATGAGCCAGCATAGGAAACACTGTTTTTTCATCTTTAAGGATGTTCAAGTGCCCAAAAGTCATTCTGGACATCAATGACAAATAGTAAGATGTGGCTTGTATAAAGCACAGGTGACTTCATTATCAGCTCCAAGACATACCATGCAAACTGCATATTGAACAATCCTTGGTAGCACTGTTTTATTAGTTGCTTCTTTCTCCTAAAAGAAAATACAGAGAAAGATTTTAGTTTAGTTCTATTTATTTGAACTTTGCCTCAAGTTAAAATATATACCCTAACACTAGATCCAAACATATAAAAATGGCAAATCTGTCTTCAGTGACCCAATCTCCATTATCTTTCTTCCCTCTGAATTACAACCCATTCAAGGAATCTTCAGTTAACAAGAATTTCACAGTGAGCAGACACAAAGAGATTGTTCCCAGTAAACAGGTCAGAAAGATTATTCTACTGGAAGGAGGAGGAAAGAATAATGAGCAATAGTAAACTCATCATTTTCTAAATGCCTTCTGGGCAACCAGCACCAAATTGGCATGTCACTGAATCCTCACTAAGAAATTGAAAGGTAGGCACACTGAGGCTCAACGTGCCCAGCACATAGCAGTCTGCAGATTCAATTCTGCTCAGCCTGGCTGCAAAGCTCAACTTGCCTTCAAAGCCACTCCAGGCTCATGACACTCTCCAATAGCCAAAGAGGGCAACCTTTACAATACACTCTCCTCTAGTTACAATGCCAACATTAGGGAACTAACTAAATACCTTTGCACTGGAGCCTTTCCATTTGGTAGTAAAAAAGAAACTACCACTATGAGCAAAGAGAATGTAGGCATATTGCAGCTCTCAAACTTCATGTCATGGTGAGAGAGTCATGACAGAGAAAGCCCTGCAGGCCTTTCCGAGACACTGAAATACCACACAGGTAAGTGAAAGGCCTAAAGACTCATAGCAGGCCAAGGCAATTTATACAATACACTAAAACTGAGTGTCCAGGTGCCGAATTCAAGATGGTGGCATGAGAGGTGAGACAGAGAATTCCTCCCAAAACCACATATAGTGTGAAAATATAGTTAGTACAACTAGCCCTAAAACAGCAACAGGAAAGAAGGCTGCACTAGACTGCACACAGACCTCATGAACAGAGCAGACCTCACGGAACAGGGTAACGTACCAAAGCCTTGATCTGGCAGGACCTAGGGCCTTGCCCCACACCAGCTCACCAGTGGTAGGAAGAGAAACAGAGCTGGGAGGGGGTGGAGGCCTGGGACTGCTGAACACCCGGCCCTGGAGGTCTGCTTTGTAAGCAAAAACCTATACTGTGTGGTGCTCCAGATGTTGGGGAGCTGGGACAGGCTGAGTGCTTGAGAGACTGAGATACTGGCCATTTGTGGAGGAGGGGATCCATTCCAGTCACTCTGGGACAAGGGAAAGGCAGGCAGTCTGACAGGCTTCCTAGCAGCAAGAGGGCTGCTGAAAGGGCAGAATTTGCATGGAGCTTCCTGCCCGGGAGAAGGGAGAGCTGCACAAGGTGTCTGGGTGCACTCTGCCCAGCAGGTTGGGAATGTCAAGGAGCTTCAGGCACTCAGGCCTCCTGGCTGCCTACTCAGCTGCGAGGCCCCACCCACTGTGATATGCACCCTGCCGAGCCTCCCTCCTGGCCTGACAGCACCAGCTCGCAAACCTGCAGTCACTGCGCAGGCGTCAGGCCAGCAAGAGGGAGGCCCCACCTACAACAGCTAGAGACGCACAGCACAGAGGCTTACACCTGTGTGCTTGGCCCACTGGCTCTGATACTGGAGACAGGCACTGCAGCTGGGAATCAGGAAACAGCTCTTTCCTCCCCCCAGGCACCAGTGCCACTCCCCTGTAACCCCCAACCTCACTCTAGGGGCTGAGCAGCTCCAGAGACTAGAGCTTCTGGGCACTAGAAGGCACCACATAGAATTATGAAACGTCAAAGGAACATGGTTCAGACCAAAATCTCACAAACTCCAGAAGAAGGACCAAATGAAACTGAACTCAACAATCATACTGAAAGAGAGTTTAAAATAAAAATCATAAACATGCTCATGGAGGTACAGAAAAATATACAAGATCTCAGGGATGAATTTGAGATGGAGATTCAATCACTAAGAAATTCCATATCTGAAATGAAACACACAATGGAGGGATTTAAAAGAAGATTAGATGTAGAAGAAGAGACAGTAAATGGAACAGAAATTAGAGAAGAGGAATACAAAGAAGCTGAGGCACAGAAAGAAAAAAGGATCTCTAAGAATGAAAGAATATTGAGAGAACTGTGTGACCAATCCAAATGGAACAATATTAGCATTATAGGGGTAACAGAAGAGAGAAAAAAAGGGATAGAAAGTGTCTTTGAGGAGGTAATTGCTGAAAACATCCCCACTCTGGTGAAGGAGATAGTCTCTCAAGCAATGGAAGTACACAGATCTCCCAACACAAGGGACCTAAGGAAGACATCATCAAGACATATAATAATGAAAATGGCAAAGATCAAGGATAAAGACAGATTTTTAAAAGCAGCTAGAGAGAGAAAAAAAGATCACATACAAAGGAAAACCCATCAGGCTATCATCACATTTCTCAACAGAAATCTTACAGGCCAGAAGGGAGTGGCATGATATATTTAATGCAATGAAGCAGAAGGGACTCGAACCAAGAATACTCTACCCGGCAAGGTTATCATTTAATTTGAAGGAGGGATTAAACAATTTCCAGACAAGCAAAAGCTGAGAGAATTTACCTCCCACAAACCACCTCTACAGTGCATTTTGGAGGGACTCCTATACATGGAAGTATTCCTAAGGCTACACAGATGTCACGCAAGGGATAGACAAAGAGACAGAATAAGATACCTAAGATATAAAGAATGGAGGAAGAAGAAAAAGGAAGAAAATTTAAAAAAACCAGAACCTTTAGGTTGTGTTTGTAATAGTTAAATTAGACTGTGACATAATAAGGGAATTATCCCTGAACCTTTGTAAACCATGAACCTAAAGCCTGCAATGGCAATAACTACATACCTATCGATAATCACCCTAAATGTAAATGAACTGAATACACCAATCAAAAGACAGAGAGTCATGGAATGGATAAAAAAACAAGACCCATCCATATGCTGCCTACAAGAGACTAACTTCAAACCCAAAGAAATACACTGACTGAAAGTAAAGGGATGGAAAAAAATATTTCATGTAACAAATAGTGAGAAAAAATCAGGAGATACAGTACTTGTATCAGACAAAATAGACTTCAAAACAAAGAAAGAACAAGAAACAAAGAAGGACATTACATAATGATAAATGGGGCAGTCCAACAAGAGGATATAACCATTATAAATATCTATGCACCCAACACAGGATCACCCACATATGTGAAACAAATACTAACAGAATTAAAGAGGGAAATAGAATGCAATGCATTCATTTTAAGTGACTTCAACACACCACTTACTCCAAAGGACAGAACAACCAGACAGAAAATAAGTAAAGAGACAGACACACTGAACAACATATTAGAATGGATGGACCTAACAGACATGTATACAATACTTCATCCAAAAGCAACAGGATACACATTCTTCTCAAGTGCACCTGGAACATTTTCAAGAATAGATCATATACAGTTCACAAAAAGAGCCTCAGTAAATTCAAAGACTGAAATTGTACCAACCAGCTTCTCAGATCACAAAGGTATGAAACTAGAAATAAATTACACAAAGAAAATGAAAAAACCCACAAACACGTGGAGGCTTAATAACATGCTCCTAAATAATCAATGGATCAATGACCAAATAAAAACAGAGATCAAGGGGACAAATGATAGTAATAATTCAACACCGCAAAATCTGCGGGAAGTAGTGAAAGCCATGCTCAGAGGGAAATATATAGGAATACAGGCCTACCTCAGGAAAGAACAATCCCGTATGAACAGTCTCAACTCACAATTAACAAGCTAGATAACGAAGAACAAATGAGTCCCAAAGTCAGTAGAAGGAGGGACAAAATAAAGATCAGAGAAGAAATAAATAAAACTGAGAAGAGTAAAACAGAAAAAAATCAATGAAACCAAGAGCTGGTTCTTGGAGAAAATAAACAAAATAGATAAACCCCTAGCCAGACTTATAACAAAAAAAGAGAATCTACACACATAAACAGAATCAGAAATGAGAAAGAAAAATCATGACAGACACCACAGAAATACAAAGAATTATTAGAGAATACTATGAAAATCTATGTGCTAACACACAGGATAAGCAAGAAGAAATGGTCAACTTCCTAGAAAAATACAACCTTCCAAGACTGACCAAGGAAGAAACAGAAAATCTAAACAGACCAATTACCAGCAACAAAATTGATGGTAATCAAAAAATTACCCAAGAAAAAAAGCCCTGGTCCAGATGGATTCACCACTGAATTTTATCAGACATATACAGAAAATATGATGCCCATTCTCCTTAAGGATTTCCAAAAAACAGAAGAGGAGGGAATACTCCCAAACTCATTCTATGAAGCCAGCATCACTCTAATACCAAAACCAGGCAAAGACCCCACAAAAAAAAGAAAATTACAGACCAATATGGCTAATGAACACAGATGCAAAAATACTCCACAAAATATTAGCAAACAGCAATTCAAAAATACATCCACAGGATTATACACCATGACCAAATGGGATTCATCCCAGGGGTGCAAGGATGGTACAACATTAGAAAAACAATCAACATCATCCACCACATAAACAAAAAAAAAGGACAAAAACCACATGATCATCTCCATAGAGGCTGAAAAAGCATTTGACAAAATTCAACATCCATTCATGATAAAAAATGTCAACAAAATGGGTATAGATGGCAAGCACCTCAACATAATACAGGCCATATATGACAAACCCACAGCCAACATCATACTTAACAGTGAGAAGGTGAAAGCTTTCCTGCTAAGATCGGGAAAAAGACAGGGATGCCCACTCTCCCCACTGTTATTCAACATAGAACTGGACATCCAAGTCACAGCAATCAGAAAAAAAAAACAAAGAAATACAAGGAATCCAGATTGGTAAAAAAGAAGTCAAACTGTCACTATTTGCAGATGACATGATATTGTATATAAAAAACCCAAAATACTCCACTCCAAAACTACTAGAACTAATATCTGAATTCAGCAATGTTGCAAGAAATAA